CTGCAACTGGTACGAAGTTCAATAAACGGGTGGCGATCCAGATTTTGTACTTCATTGGTCTGTACGTGATGTGTCAGTACAGTATTCACCCGGGCTGTGTTAAACACTTGAATGATTTCCAAAAGCTGGCGAGTAGACTCACCTTTGCGTTACACGCGCGAAGCAAAGTAGGGAAAGCCAGACCCACGTGCTTTATTAGCGCACGTAGGATTATTGAGTTCTACCCCCAGAAATTAAGGGAGTGGACAAACGTCCTTGTAAATGCTTCCTATTTAAGTTATACTTGTCGCAATACTTGCCCCAAAGTTGCCTCCTACGCAGAGGCTCTTTGGGTCTGTCACGCAATGACGGTCTATGCGTACCTGTGTAGAAAACTACTGTAGGCCACAAAAATGGACAAATGTAAGATTCTGAAGAATGTCCGGTAGAAAAGGTATATTTCAGACTGATCGAAAATTCCGAATCAAAATCGAAATATTTCACCAGCCTAGAAATTTCCCTTCAAGAAATTTCTTCTTTTACAACTTCCTCAGTCTCGGTTTAAAGGTCGTCCGGTGTCGATAACAATCAGTTCCAGACTAATCCACATAAAATAATGTTTTTATTCAACCGGCAATGGAAATTATGCAAAATCATATTTAATTAATGAGCTGGCGTCCCGAGCAACACGGAAAATATTCGCCAGTGACAGCTTACCACACAACACGTTTATGACTTAGGGTTTCGTGTTAGACGTGTTGGATTGTTTTGCTCAAGAAACGTACGTTCACTAGATCATTGACTTAAAACCTTTCACGAGACGATCCGGTGAGTCGATCGCTTCGGCAACGGTGAGTATCTTTTTTTGTTCTCTCTCTTTCGAGTTCTCTACTTGCTATGGAGTTGTCCAAAAGTTTGTAGGCTACTCCGACTTAAATCTACATAGCCTTTGAACGCTAGGACTAGTTATCCCGATTTTTATCTTTTCTCGCCAAAGAGAGTACACGGTTTAGAACCATGCTAGTGATGACATAGATGACAAATAACTTGCCTTCTCAAGTATTACCTAGGCAATCGTATTACCTAGGCAGACGACCGTGCGTCTCAGATAGACAAATGTCCCAGACGTGTCATCGTTCTAGGTGATTATGTTAAATAAGGCGTATTAACTTTTCAGAAAAACTTAAAAATTCTATATGTCAGGAAGACACAGACCCATTAAACATGTAGGTCACAGACGTATGATTTGTCTAGGTAAGTACGAGACGACTGAGGAACTGATGGATTTTTCTGAACTGGGAATCCGTTTGACCAAAAAAAAAAAAAAA